ACAAAAGAAAATAAGAGAACACTCAAGTTTCAGGCTTAACCATGCAGGTGACAGATGCAAATCAGTTATTATGCTGACAATGCATTGCCAAAGAAGCGGTTCTGTGATGTTACATTAATGTCTGGTACCCTTGAAATCCTCTATGATAAGTAGGCAATGTGTAATCTGCACGAACAAAGGGCTCAGGACCCATTTACTGCCAAAAAGGTAAATGCATTTTCTGATGAAAAGAAAGTAATTTCCGCTCACCAGTATCTCCTTCATAAAATATGATGAAGTCCACTTATAAGCCCTTTTATTCGGAATGCAGCATGACTTTCCAATTTGATCAAAGCTCTTCATTATATTTGCTCTGCTTTTAGTAAAGATTCTTTTCAAAACTTAAAAGACGGCAAAACCTGATGAAATGTAGAATCTAACGATGAAAGTAAAAGGTAATATTAATTTAAGCCAGAAGGCTTCAAAGTCTAGTCATTGTGCGATTGTCATTGATAGCACAAAACTAATACGCAGTCACACAAAGATACATGACCATTAGCTGGGCTTTTGGCTCCGCCCCCCCCCCAAAAAAAAAACACTTATACAAAATTGCTTTATCCTCAATAAAGAAAAACGAATTACTTTCTATCAATACCTCTTGAATAAATTGTGAAGTTCGTAATAGCACAGCCTGCTTCAAAAAAATTCCAACCGACACACCACTTTTCTTGTGGAGTAATTTTGCCGTATTTCAAAATGGACTGCACAGACCTATCTGCATCAACAGTGCGGTATAAAGAAAGTCAAGCACAGGGGCATCGTGTTTGCTGTCTTCAGCTGTTAGAACCGACAATACCTTCAAACAAATGATCATTTGTATTTAGTCTTTGAAAGCCAAATGATTTCTTTGAAGAGCTAGACCTTTTACAATGAGAGGTTGATGTCCTTTTTTTTTTTGCAATACAGCGAAAGGACTGCACTGAAGTGAATTGACGACTGGGTTTCTCTCGGAACACCACTCAAGCAGGCCTTGATACATTTTATTAATGATTGATTCGTTGAATGCAGTTCTCTTTTATTCTTTGAAACTAAGCAATAATTGTCGGTGGATGGCGAGCGACGGAGGAGGCAGTTAATGGTTGTACTTCATTGTGTCCTTCCATTAATAATAAGGAGAAATTATTAATGACGGTAATAATGTGCACCAGAAGATAAAACATGAGAGTTCTAGGTATTACAATAAGCCTTCACTGCATTTAACAGGCCCAGAGCGGTCGTGGCTGTTCTTCACCATGTCTTTTTCCCATCAGTTTTGAATTCCATATTTTATGAGATCCCTTTGTAGTTTTCAATTTGTTAATTGCAAAAACATGCAACACAGACCAATACAAGTAACCAAAACCTGTTAACGAACCCATCTTTCCGAATGAAAGTGGGGTTTTACAAATAGGCCTACTGTGATATTTGTCCGTCCCGAGATTCGCGGCTGATAGCAAACTACCAGCGCCTCAACTCCTATGTCGCAAATCCCTGGCTACATCTCGTCTACTTGTAACAGAAAGTCGTTTATGCTCAAAGGAGTAGTAAATTGGTTGGGTCTATTTTGAAGCTTGACCTACTCAAATGGGAAAATGAATTCAAAGGGAAAAGGATGATTAATAATTCTTAAAGACCATCTCCAACTGTTTTTAAAGTTGTGGAAATATTGCGTTTAGTGTTAAATAAATCACATATTTATTACCAAATCATGTCTTTATTGCGTCTGTATTTTTTGAAAATTTGCGGATACTTTTGAACGTTGTCTTTGAGTTTTATGAAAAATTTCCACAATCTGACCACTGGTGGCGCTGTTGAGAAACGAAATTTGTATGATGTAATACCGGAGAAAACACTGAAACTGTATCCGTAGAACGATTGGTTGCTCAACGAACGTATATATACTGTACATGAAAACGGAGCTACATGTGCGTGCACCACGTGTCAGGGATCGATCTGTGTGCAGGTTCTACTGTGCGGCATGATCTCTTTTCGGTCGAGAGTTTGTGTTCCTGTCTTTACGACTTACAATAATGCCCAAATCGTGCATCTTGGTGGACGTACTAGAAATTCTGCAAAAGAACCAGAATGGAAATTCTTCGAGTTTCCGAAGAATGAGAGCATTCTTCATGTTCGCGATGTCGTCCCCAGCTATGCGCGTGCTATGGATGCATATATTGTATGCGCACTGTGGTATGTCCTCTCCACGGTAATACATCACAGAAATCAATATTCATTAGATGCTGATGAGTCCTGACGACACGTCCATTTTTACAACTGCAGACTGGACTTCCAGGAAAAATAGGTACAAAAACTGTATTTTGTTAACACAACAACGTGTGTTGCAAGGGAAATATTAATATGTGCCAGTTTTATTAGACTTGGTTCTTCTGAATAGGATTCAATATGAGCAAAATCAACATCGTTGGAGCTGGCCTTTAAACAATGGTATTTTTACGGAATACGTATGCCAGTCTTCCACCGCTATTACAAACCAAGCATCGATCGTGTCGCTCCTTCGTATAATTTCATTTCATCAGAACCTTTTTGGCTAGACGCCTTTGCAGTGTGAATGTTCCGACTGTACAGAGCCAGAGGACCGAATTATACATTGGAAGCTGCAGCGAGCCCTTTTCGAAAGGTTAACATGCCTATACTTGTTTGCCTAGACCTAATGGTAGACGTCACTCGTGCTGGAAGCGTTTGCAATGAAAAATTTACGCCGAAGCTTGTTTTCTGGATTGTCTGTAATATGTAATGGGCCTCCATCACATAGTATGCGATACTTCAATTGTATTTTACCATTGCTCGTGTTGGCTGCCGTGCTACCCCGTTTTCTCCTAAATAATCCCGCCGAAATTGGACATTCGAGCCAATCAGACAGAATCTTGCCCCAGTTCCACTCTGAGGCTCTTTTTCCTAGTGGCTGAAGATGACGTCACCCATTTAGCGCTTTGCGTCGTTGCTGTGCAAACTGAATTAATCTGATCAAGCAGAGAGATTTCCATGCACACGTCTCCTCGTAGAATGGACGGCGCAGTCATAACTTCGATTTGGGTGTTGTCCACACTGATAGGTAGGATTGTATTTTTTTATTGAAGTCGCCATCTATATGGTGTACTCTTTAAGACACACATTCCTGCCTCTCTTTAGCCTCTTCCAAGGCGATGCAACTACGCGACGTGACGTGCGACGAAAGGAACGACGTTTAGGCAGAGAAAATGCAACAAGAAAAGGACCCAAGACAACACGACGCGGCAGGCGACGTCACGACGCGACGCACGACGCGACCCGTCGAGTGTGTACAAACGTAAATGGCAAGAAGGCAACGGCGCGACGCAAGGGAGCCGTCGTGCTTTTGCGTTGTGTAGTTGCGTCGCCTGGCAGAGGCTAGATAGAAGCAGAAATATGTGTGGTAAATAGTACACCATTCCATCCACACAACCAGGCACTAGGTCGTATAAATAAATAGTAGCATTTGCTTCCTACTATTTTTGAAGCATTTACTCGACGTGTTTGTATGAAAGATAACGAAGCAAATGCTTTTACTTCACAATTGCTAAAAAGTGAAAGTATTTACTTTTTACTCTTTAATTAAGTTTGTGCTTGACATTAAGCAGTTGCTTCATTTTGTATGAATAAAAACGAGTACGTTCCACAGAATTGGGGTATTTACTAAACATTTTTCAAGACTGGTCAGGGCGAGCTTGAAAACGAGGAGCATTTACTAATGTTCAAAATGGCAGCGTTCATGAATGTCATTCGAAAGGAAAAGCTGTATGCCTTTAGGAGGGAATCTCAAGAAACCAGATGCCGGCGGTTTTTTGTGATTGGGAGAGCAATTTTCTTCATCAATGTTTTTGCGATCAAAATTACTGCCATCGTGCGTATCTGCCATGCTGATGAGGTCTCAAGATACACCACCGTACTGCATAGGTAGTTTCTGTACGTGCACACAATGGAAGCCGTATTGTGCAAAACCGTTCAGCTGTGAAGTCACCCACAATCATAAATCATTTGGTAATATTTATACTAGTAGATGCTGAATAGTCAAAGAAACATTTTATTCATACAAATTCAAGCATTTGCTTATTCTTAATGGTTTTACTTCTCAGTAAATGCTTTTTCTGTTTGCTTGAACTTCATAGTATTTGATAGTTTTATTCATACGAACCACTAATTAACGGTCATTGTAATGTACATGTATGTCTTTTAACCAAATAAACTGGTTTTGAAATGTGTGGATTTATGTTATTTGCGTGTTATTATAAAGGTAATCATTTTGTTCTCTCCGTCACTTTCATTGCGTTCAGTTTCAAATACAGAGGGTGATGCCCCTCCAAAAACTCCAACCCAGTAGTCATATTTTCTCCCAATGTACATGTCAGAAATTGTTGTTTTGGCATTGACTTAACATTTAGGAATTTTTATGAAAGCTTCATGCTTTGATTGATGATGCGTTTGCTGAGGTATGTTTGTTACGTAACGCAGTCCATTGTTCTCTCCAATACAAGTTGTACGATTGATCTTTACTAGAAGAGCAATCCAATCCTAAGCCATCAACTGTTTTGGCCTTAACGTTTGTCTTTCTAGTTCTACTCGATGCTTGATTCAGAAAAGGCAACGATTGTTAAAGTATTATGCAATTTTCGGAGCTTGAAGGGTTTGTTTTAGAGAAAGCAACTTCCGCTGATTTTGCGCTGTTTACCGGAGTAAAATTGTGTAGCAAGGTGCGGATCTTTTAATTCAGTAATATTGCCCTCTCTGATCCATTTCAGAATCCTGTTTGTCAGTCGGTCCAAACATTACAGAATCCCGTCCAGTTTCAGTCTCCTGATTCTGTTTGGCCTTTCCAATGTTCCAAGGCGTTTTAAAAGACATCAAAGGGCTTAATGTTTCCCCCACAAAAAAAGTATTTTCATTAAATCTTACATGATTCTCAATCGACCTAGTACACCTTGTTCATGAGTTGGTGGGTTCATTTCTTTCTTCAGTTAATTATATTTTCTCGGTCAATTAGAAATCAACTTACGGCACATCCTGGGTAGGCTAATACCCGGCACAAATTGGCACAAAAGCAATGGCAATAATCGAAAGAAAGGATTTGATATTAGGTAAGAACAAAGAAAGATATTGTAGTAACTCTCTGTCCTCCTTATACGAACAAAATAATAATAAATTAATTAATTAATAAATAAGAGCCCGACAAGGGTGGATGCTTTCAGGGGACCTTTCAACCTTATAGGCCCTACAAAATATTGCAATGATCAGGGGGTGATTGACTTCCAACTCCCCCTCCGGATCTGGGCCTCTACTTTTCTCAACTCTTAAATTCTTCTGACGACAGAAAGTTTCTTTGACCAAAGTCTGTCGTGGACCTTTCGAACTTAACATGAACTTCATTTGGTCTTACGAAAAATAATTTGTAATCTTGGTATTGATTATATATATTTCCATATTTCCGTCAATTCAATTTAAATTGATTGTTTCCCGTGGTATGCTATCCAATATTTTCATGCATTCCAGTGATGTATATACATTCCAATGTAGAAATCTTCAAAATGATAAGCCTCATTTACCAAATCGTGGGGCCATAATGTTCTTTGAAAATGTCTTGGGTCAACTTAAATGTTCATCGTTGATAATTTGACATTGAACGAAATGTCTTTTCCTCCACATTTTCCAAATTACGTGCTCAAGAAAATAATTTACTCATCGCAATGTATTTTTCTTGCTTAAGGTGCTAGCAGTATTGTCCCGCAGTAATCTGACCAATATTGCTAACATTGGACATACTTTGGTACCATTGCACCAGTTGTAAGCTCAGTGGGAGATTGTCATATGATAAACGATTTTATATACAGTCCATTCCTTCTTTGTCTTGCAAAACCATTGTTTTTTTTTCGATTACAATGAACGACGAACTGAGAACCAAAAAAAGCTTATTTTCCGAGGACTAGAAAGAAAACGAGCGATTGCCAAATTGCTGAAGGTAAACAAGAATAATAACAAAGAAATTGTTTGTGGCCATAACTCGACAGCTCATTACAAGGACAAAGACCCGTGCTTAGCACGGGCACTTTTATTTTAGACAATGCGTATAGAGAAAGATTAGCAGAAGCAGATTGTGACCTCACGGAGACTACGGAAAGAGGGTGCTTCTAGGCACTTTTTACAGTGTGTATTTTACAAATATACTTGCCAAATACATCATTCACCACATCAACCTTTTAATGATTTCATGAAACCACGCCCACTGTTCCCGCCAAAGCCCTACATTGCCAGACACTCGTTTTTAAAGCTTTGTGATTTATTCCGGTATAGTCCTGGTATCATGCCATCGGGTCTGCTTCATTGGAACGGAGTTTAAACGGCAGTCTGGTGCCCCGGCCCGCTGGTTCCTCCCTTTTAAAGACCCCTGCCAATGCACTGCTGTACGTCTTGGAGGGATATACACGCCTGCTTCGTCTTACCGCCAGGGGGCGCCCCTCTACCTGGACGAGCTATTTCTGAGCGAGGACCCTCTCGAAATCCAAGATTACTTCAAGTGCAGTCGTACAGGTAGCACCTTCTCCAATTCAAAGCGAAGGGAGACTTAGTGGCAGTTATGAAAATGTCCCATGCGATCGGTCCAGTATTGATTGCGTCAATTTGAACAAATTCACGTTACCTCAAACGTAAAGTCTGGTTTCAATATCAACGTAAGAAACGCAGAGAGCAACGCAATCAATACGCAAATTACAACATAGGCATATTGAAACACGTAAAAGGGAAGTGCCGCCAATAAGGAAACCCAGCCCGAAACGAATCAGCAATTTTGAAAATTTGAATTTGACTAAAAAGTGTGTCCTTGAACAGTCATTTGTATGGACACGTTTAGACCTGAATTTCAATTGATTTACTAACATAGATTCTGTTGATCGTGGTTGATCAATATGAGACCCCAATGGGACAGCATGGATAATATCATACGGGCCCCACATCCACATCATTTATGGGGCTCAGGCTTACATGGGCATATGATACCTAGGCAAAATATGGTCAATATACGTAATATATGGGGTTTTCTGGGGCCCAGATGGACCAGCTGTGTATGGGCAGAACATGGGCTATCCCATGGGCAGAATCCCAGTTGAGTAAAAAAAATAGGATTAGGCTCGGGCCAACGTGTGCCTGCAGTATATGGGCAAATCCATTATATGGGCATTAACCCTAGAATAGCCGGATTATTTTGGCCCATCTTATAGCCAAGAGGGGGCCCCCACCCAACAAAATCTCGACTGTGCCACGCCCGATTTTGTTTTTAAACTTTATCATGTGTCTGGCTGTAATTTGTGCGTGTTATCAATATGTCACTGTTTGGGTGGTCATATAACTCACAGCAACTGTCGTGCAAGTAACTGTGTCAGATCTGAACATTAAAATGAGTGTTGTACTAATTTGGAAACTTAGAAAAAAATACTTTCCCCCCTACATTTTGCCATGTTTCCTCATTTGCCTGAAGCATGAACCAGCCGTAGCGTTTTGGAGTGATCAAGGCAAATTTCGAAATGAATCGTCATGAACGGTAATTATTTCACTTGTTTCCTCGTTTGAGCGTAGAGGCAGGACCTACTGAGCCAGAAACCACGACCGTCGGGTGTTCAACCCCGAGACCGTTAGGGATGGAGGACGGGACTATCCCCGATGAACGGATCTCAGCGTCCAGTTACAAGGGCCCTTCAGGCTCCTCAGATGCACGCCTTAACAGTAACTGGCGATGGACACCTTTGAGGTAGTATCAAAGGGGGACGACACACCCCTACGGGCCCCACTCGCATCCCAATATATACATCCTACAACCAAGGGAAACATTACTAAGTACATGAGAATAGGTAATACAGAAACGCAATTTATGCGCGACCCTCTAGACAATTCCATGGTCTTAGATTTTACAATGTAGTTGACAAAATGCGAGGGATGATGGTAACGTCGATGAGCCCGACACCTGCTGAGAGTAGACAGACGAACAGGGATGGGACTTGACCCGTTAACAGCAGAGGTCTATTTTAATCACATTGAAAAGCTTAATATATAGGCCTACACACACGCAAATCAGATTTAAGCTACATCCATTCAAAAGCTTGTCTTTACTTCTGTCGAATTTGGATTGCTGATATTTTATTGTTCTTCATCCAATTGCCCTCTGTGTACGTAGCAACGAACGCTCCTGGATCGAGGTTGACCTCGCTGTGAGTACACTGGTGTCTGGCGTCATCACGCAAGGAGGCCCAGGGGGCATGCGGTATGTCAAGAGATACCTCGTGTCGTATCAGAGGCAACACTCATCTGACCGTGTACATGTGACAGATGGAAACGGCGAGGCCAAGGTAGAAAGACATCAACTTAATTTTGCCGGAAATTGATCAATCCTTTGCAATCTGTCATTCCTACTTCTTGTGTGTTTCCTTTCCGTTAGTTAGGCCTATATCCTGGTTCCTGGTGTCAAAAACTAGAGAATTAAAAGTAATTGTATTATACGTGTTTTAGCGTTACGTTGTTTGTTTTTTGGTGGGGGGATCGAAAATTAAAGCTGTCGTGCAATGTTGAACCGTGTATAGAACTTCAAACTTTTATCAGGCAATAGACTTTAAAAAATAAAGATTTAAAAGTTGGAATAACAAGAGCCTGTGCAGTTTGTCAGTGAATGGTTTGAGAAACGTTTCTCCCTGTATTATAAGATTACAATATCCTATTGTAATAATAATGTTATTCACTTTTATTTCAGGTGTTCACCGGTAACTCTGACGGCAACACCCCGGTCACTAACACGTTCAAAGCAAGTGTGTTGGCCACGACAGTGCGCATTGAGCCAACTGAATGGCATCACAACGTTGGACTGCGATTTGAGTTGCTTGGATGTCGCCTTGATTAATTCACTCGTTTCGCTGCTTGCAGGATTGTATGATATTTTTGCAGTTGAATATTACTAACCGGAAAATAAACATCAAGATGACTGTGGTCGTTATGGCAAAACTCTGAACATGCTCTAAAGAAGGTGATTAAATTGGTATAAATAAGAACAAGCTGTGTGTTTGAATGAACAATTTTTGGCAGGGTTGTAAATGTTTCTATTTAAAATGTGCGTATGAGTTAGTAAAAGAGGCATTCGTGTTATAGTGCAAAATACTTGTTTTAATTCACTTTTGAAAAAAATAAGCGCACAATTTCCTCAGAGTGGCACCAAATTAAGTATACTAAGTATTCATTTTATATCTAAATCAAAGGCACACTCGTAGTCTTGTAATCTAGTTTTCTAATCTCAGTCTAGTTTTCAAATGATGCGGATAATTTCCTGTGCGGAGTTAACTAATTAAGGCATGGCTGGTCAAGCATTTGATTTAATTTCTGTAATATGTAATTAACGGGTAAAATGTTCAATTATTTATAACTGAACTTAACCAAGTAGTTTAGTCTTTTGAAACATATCAACCAGTGGAATACAACCCATATAAAACCCTGATATTTGCTAATTATTTGCCACAATGGCATCATGTAGCCACGTGTCACAACTCTCTTCTGCAATATTCTCTTTTACAATATTGTGTTTGACAAATTTTACGCGCTCCCACAAGCAAAAGATTATTAATGTCATAGTTACATTAATGTTACCAAGGTCAAACATCTTGAAAACAGCATTTTTTTGCGTTTTCACGAAGAGACATAATGTTTAACGTCCTTTGAACATGTACAAAACGTATTGCAAGGAAACGGCTGAAACGTAGATCAACCGGGATTGGGGTTTTTACGAAGTGACGTAAGCTTTGTTACATCCACAGCTGAGCATGCGTAAAGACACAATCACCTTCCCTGTTATTATTATGCGTTGGACAAAAGGACGTTCATGTACAAAAAAGGTAATTTTTGTTTTCAAGAAGTAACGTTAACCTTTGCTAATTAATTTTGGCTAATTAACCCCTGTTTGGTACTAATTCTACGATTAGACATCAAAGAACCATTTAGGGGATTTTTTGTTACATAATGTTGTCACAAAATACCTATTTTGGTAGTTTTTTAAGCATTCGAATCAGTACGACACTCCACGATCAACACAACCACAGAAACGACGCAACAGAATCCACCTTGAGCACCCTCTCATCGGTTGAAAAGAGTCATGTTGGTGGGAGTGTCCTAGTATAATGTTAGTAGCAATGCCACCGCAACGCACGCATTTCGAAATTATTCGTGACCAAGCGAAGTGAAGGAGACTTCGTTGGTAGGAAAATTGCGCCATCTCTTGGTCACACTCGTGGCGCATACGTACTCAAAGGTCAAGTCCCAGTGGTTTGTTCTCCACACATTATTTCTAGTTCTCACACCCAAACGGCGGGAATTTGGCCCAAGAACGCTGTTCTCGGAACAGGATCACTATTTTCCAAGTGTCTTCAGGAAACGTAGAAGGAAAAATCAACCGTCGTCCTATTTGCCCTGGATTGGTCTACTCAACCGCGATATAAAAAAAACGAGGGCTTATCTGTCTGTTTGACAACAGAACAGAGGGCTTTTTCGCATTCTGATGTACATTTGAACAACTCAGGCATCTTCACATCAAGTCATTTTCGTATACAACACTTCTCTTTCAAGTTATTTACAAGGTTTCAACCAGATATAGCATGTATTTCAGGAGATCTAGGGCCTTAAAGTGTGCACCTTTAATGTCACGTTACTTGTCTCCTGATCACGTCATCATTATATCAGGTCGATATTTCTCTGAATCCGATCGGCCCTATATCAGGAGGTATAGGGCCTAAAAGAGTGCACGCTTATTGTCACGTGACTTGTCTCCTGATGACGTTCCCTTTCCAGTTATCATGTCCTTTTGGAGAAATAAGGCTCTGAAGTTTACAGATTTCATGCCAAGTAGAAAAACGTGTACAAAACCTATGGGAAAAATAAAATATTCAAACCTATATAGAATAAGGTGATTACGTCGTCATTACATCATTCATTTTCAATAAATCTTTCATCAGAGTCTTTGTTGGCTGTCACTTTGTGAACGATCAAACGTCGAAAAGTTACCAAAATTGTGGCTCAAAAACGTGTACAAAGTCAATGGACTGTAAACTCGTTTGTAGAAACACTGCTCCTCTAAGCTCATGTCACGTGATTTGCGCTTAAACTGAACAATTTTTATGAAATATTACTTCATATTCAGACTCTTAGGCATATTTCAAATCAAATAACAGAGCGTAAAGTACCCGATTTCTCTTTCGTTTTTGTAGTAATCTTGAGCCGAAGTAAAGGACTACCTGCTCATTTGTGATAATTAGAAAAACGTGTACAAAACATATGGGGAAAATAAAATATTCAAAAATCAATATAAAATAAGGCGATGACGTAATCATGACGTCATAAATTAGGCAATGATTTTGAATCATTTTCTTCGCCGGCAGTAACTTTAATGACGATTGAGGATCGCAAAGTAACCCAAAATTAATTGTGCCTTGAAAACGTATACAAAGTCAATCGGCTAAAATAAATAGGCAAAATCAATAATAAATCACCCTATGACGTCATCATGACGTCACTCTTCTGCATACATCTATGCAATGATGACTATGCCTATGCCAACTTTGAATGCTGTGCGACAAAGATTAATGGCAAAAGTACGGCACAGAAAAAACGTGTGCAGAAAAAGTGCAAAGTCTATGGGCTCGTGGCCCAAAAAGAAGACCCCCCCTCAAAATCCTGACGAACAGAAAGGTTTTTCGCAATTTCCAAAACAAAACAGAACAAAAGAATGCCATAAGTTTGGCTACCGCTAATGCAATCCAGGAGACTGTCGCGCATAGAGATATGGGCATCATAAAGCAGGGACGGCGTTTGCTCCCTTCCCCAAAGGCGACTGATCAATAAATGAAGACAGGAAGATGGGGGAGGAAAATAAAAAATCCTTGCGATTGTATCTCTTCCAAAATTGACTCATTGTTAGTTTGAGAAAGCTTTGCCCCCCCCCCCATAAAAGAAATGGGGACACATGTAGCCTTTTTCAGTACTCGTGGTGTTGAAACTGTTGGTTTTGTGAAGCTGTGAAAAGAAATGTGGGTTATGTTATGTGGGTTATGTACAATTGTATATTGAAGCAGAACAATTTCATCAAAAGCACCAAACTCAGTGAAGCGCCAAACTGATAAACAAGGAATTCTTGAAATTCATTTCAATCTCCTAAAAGCTTCATATCGAGGAAGGCCGTCTTTTATTTGTTTTACATTAATATTCAGTCTTTCCTCTCCTGCAAAATTAAAATAAAATGAGCTGCTCTCATTTATATTACATATTTTAGGTGATAAGATATAAGCGGGCACGACTGCCTGCTACCTGCAGCAACGCTTTTCTAACAATGCATTTTTAATACGTGTTCCAGAAAGTACTGGTGAATCATTCATTTGTTAAAACGCACTATCCATTTTTTCAGTGGTTATAATGTATGTCGTGTGTGCCAGTGACGACTGTACTCAAAGAAACTGAAAAGGGGAATTACAACGAGTTTAAGCTAATATAAAGGAGGCATTGTGGTGCTCAATAGAAATCAAAAGATCCTAAAACTGTCCAGTCTGGAAATGAGTGGAATGTTTGGATATAGATTAGACAAAAGCCGTGACAACAATAATCCGTTTGCCAGTTTAATTTGAATAAAATATTCGTACACTGAATTATTTAAATTCACGTGAACATGACAATTTGAATTCTGCATATTAAAGACACTGTTGCTATACCTCGTAGGTTTTTGCCGTGTATAAGTACTGTTTTTAATTAGCTCCAATGGACTCGCCAGGAAAGGCCACTCCCTCTACCGAGGTTAACCCTGCGACGCGTTATGTTTCGATTTTTACACGGTTGCTGGAGCTGCTCGTTTGAAGAGGCCGTATCATTTCTCGGGTTTCAGAGCCTTCAGTTCTTCTTAAAGACATTTAAGTACTTCAGTGGTTGTCCCCTAACCTACGAGAAACTTCTATGGCGATTATCTCGAAAACCTGTTCTTCCTCAAAAGCTACATTACCGAAACTTCGTGGCGGTGACGATTTCCCAACATTCATGATCAGTTAGATGTGGGTAAAATAATTAAGGATTTAAAGTGGAATATGATTGGTGTAGGCCTGTACACTATAATTTGCATTGCACGCAAAATGTGTGAATTAAAGTTGAATTAAAAAACTGATGAGAGCTGCGCCACAACATTTTAAACACAGCCCGTAGTGGCACCAACCCCTCCATTTTTTTTAAATATCCATTTTTGTGGGACCCCTTCCCGGGGTTGTTCTAGAAAAATCCTCGACCCACGACTCCTC